TCAAATCCAACAGTTTCCAATATCTGTTTCTGACTGAAGCAGTTCAGATAATCTATTTTAACACAGATTTTATAGGTTTACATTAGATCAGCTACGTCTCCACAACTGGGTTTTCCCAAAAAGAGACCTCAGAGCTGACGTCTGTTCAGAGTGTGGACTACAAACCCTTCCCTACAAACACACTCCATGTTTCTCACACTCCATTGCTCTTCATCCAGCCAAATGATGTCTTATGCTTTTCACAACTCTGAACAAAGTACATCCAGGCCTCTCAATGGACAGTGATAAATCTGCCCCCACCACTAGTGACAGAAAACCCAGATTCAGGGATGCCAACCTTTTATGGTCCAATCCAAATGAGAAAGTTACTCTAGTTCATAGACACTCCTGGCATTTCAAGACCTCCTGGCATTCTGAAAGCTTCCATCTAGTCTGGAATTGGGGAAGCAACCTCCAAAGAGTGGAAAATAACTGACAAAAAAACCCACACAAGGAACAGGACTGGTCATTATCTGTTTCAAAGAAATTAGTAACTCTTGAGGTTAAGATGTGTGGAACCAAAATTCAGGTGCTTCCTTAGCGTTAAACCAGGGGATAAAACTCATCCCAGGCAGATTCCCTGCTCACTTACACTAGGCTACTCCAACAAAAAAGTCTCTTCCTCTCAAAGAAAAGACACAGTCACATAACCTTACAATTTAGACTGGCAGGACCCTCGAGGTCTCTACTCCAACCTCCTGCTCAATCCAGAGCCAATTTAAGTCAGCTCAGGTTGCTCAGGGTTCTGTTCAGTCAAGTTCTGCTCTTGTATGAGCATCCCCTGAGTCAGACAGAGAGAGGCTGACACCAAACCCAGCCTAGTCAAGTCAGGATGGGTCAACACATTCCAGTGCTTGGACACTCTCACTGCAAAATGGATTTCCTAATGTTCATCAAATTACTCCTTGTCCTTTCTCTGTGTCTCCAAAAAGAGTTTCTCTTCTTTACAGCTCATCAGGAAGCTGAACAGTGAGATCTCCCCCCACCACTACCTTTGCCTTTAATCCAGCTGCCCCACTTCCTCACATGCTCCAGTCCCCTAATTGCCTCAGTGGTACTCTAATGGAATTAATCCAGTTTTTCAATACCTTTCTTGTACTAGGTGGCCCTAAATCAGATTGAGATGCAGCTCCAGTTTTCCAACTGGTCCAGTTACAATAAAATCCCGTTTTGTGACATTTGGGACACGTTTGACACATATTTTTGCCTTAAAAAGTTCAAAATTTTCTTAGGATGCAAAATCCTCTACTGCAAATTGGTCCATTGGCATTAAAACCAAATTTTACAGCTAGTCTAAAAGAAGTCTGCCATTTTTCACCGAATGAACAAAGCGTGATGGTAAGGAGTTGAAACTGAATTTGTCAGATGTTTTTGGCTGATGAAAACGACACACCTTTAAAATATGTTACATCATTTCAGCTCAGAAACGTCCAAACAAATAGTTTCAATGTTTGTAATAAGATGCTTTGTAATAAGTGTAATTTGGGATCGTTTTTGTAAGAGCCAAGAAGGTGAAAGGCAACAGGTTCATAGCACTGGGCAGGGAGAAGAGAAACCTTCTCAGTCATTAGTGGTTGAGGCAGACAGGATTCTGGGGTTCAAAGCATTTTGCTGCCTGCAGGCCCCTTTCACACACTGACATCACTCTCATCTTCTCCTGTGGATGTTATTCCTGTAACTGGGCTGCAGCACTCCATGAGTCAGACACAGGGACATCATACCTGCCTCATTAGGGCAGCCTGATCGAGGCATCTGGGAAGATCTTCACTCCCATCTGACTAAAAACCAATGTAATTTCTAAATTAAACAGTGGCAATGGGAGTGAGACAAGGCAATCCATAGTGGGATGCTCTGAAGCATGGCAGTCATATCCTAGGCATTCCCAGTAAATCCACTAAGAAGGGGACTATTGGGTCTGAAATGGAGCAAAAGACCTATCAGAGAAGCTCTGAAAAGCCCTCCCGAAGTATACAACCCATGTTGGATTGACTGAGTCATCAGCTTCAAATCATAAGGGATTTTTTTTTCCACATTTCATCAGGAAAATAAAACAACACACAAAATATACTTTGGGTTTGTTCGGACAGCTTGAATTCCTAATATTTTGGTTATGGAGATGAATGAATCAGTTACACAGTCCTGGTACATGCAGTATTGGGGGCTGACACAGAAATGAGGGTGTGTATGTGTGGCACCTCTTTCCATCCATTGTTGCTCTCAAAGCTCTTAGGAAGATCACCTGGATCCTGAGATGTCCTCACCCTTCAAGGCATTCTGAAACACCTCCACACTTCAGAGAATCCCAGACTGGTTTGAGTTGGAAAGGACTTCAAAGATCATCCCCCTGCCATGGCCAGGGACACCTTCCACCAGCACAGGTTGCTCCAAGCCCCATCCAACCTGGCTTTGGACACTTCCAGGGATCCAGGGGCAGCCACAGCTTCTCTGGGCAACCTGTGCCAGGGCCTCACCACCCTCACAGACTAGAACTCCTTTCCAACACCCAATCTAAACCTACTCTCTGTCAGTGACAGAGAGTACTGCCCCACTCTGCTGCAAAAGAGTGGTCTCTCTCTCTTTTCCACACTGACAGTGCATGTTTAGAATTTGCTGTTGATTTTAACCACAGAAATAAGTCAACCCTCATGAAAATTCATTCTTGAACCTCCTGAAGAAAACCCGAAGCAAACCAAAAGACAGAGTCCTTACCAGGTGGATCCAGAGAGCCCAGCAATGTAAGTGGCACAGTCCAAAACTCCAGATTCATAAAGTGCTTTCATGACTCCAGCAAACCCCACCATGGCACGAAATCCACCTCCTGAGCCCAGGATTGCTATGACTGGGACCTGCAGAGAGGAGAGGAACAGGGTATCACCATAGCAGCTCCTATAAACACTTACAAGTGGTAAATAAACATTATATGCCACCGAATCACAGAATGTCCTGAGCTGGAAGGGACCCACAGGGATCATCCAGTCCCACTCCTGGCCCTGCACAGACACCCCAACAATCCCACCCTGTCCCTCAGAGTGTTGTCCAAACCCTCCTGGAGCTCTGGCAGCCTTGGGGCTGTGCCCACTGCCCTGGGGAGCCTGAGCAGTGCTCAACCACCTTCTGGGGAAGAACCTTTTCCTGAGATCCAACCTCTGTCCTGACACAGCTCCAGCCATTCCCTGGGTCCTGTCCCTGCTCACCCAGAGCAGGGATTGGAGTTGCCCCTCGGGAGGAGCTGCAGACCCTGGTGAGCTCTGCCCTCAGTCTCTTCTTCTCCAGCTGAAGAAGCCAAGTGCCCTCATCTGCTCCTCCTATGGCCCCTCCAGACCCTTCACCATCCCCATGTCCCTTTGTTGGACACTCCCCAACACCTTGAGATCTTTCCTACACTGTGGCACCCAGAAGTGCACCCAGTCCCCGATGGGAGGCCACGCCATGAATCTGTATGTCATTAACTAACAGCCCCTTCTTCTTCCCAAATTGCTGGATGACAGGAGCACTCTTGGACTGAAGTAGGGGATGAAAGCTCTGCTGATCCTGAGCAAGGGGAGCCAGGAACCAGCCAGCAGCATGAAAGGTTCTGCCAAGATGGACAAGACCGAGAGGGGCAGAGCAGACTTCCTTCCAGCCCCCTCCCTATCTTGCACCAGCAGCACTCAGGAGGTGCAAACACAAGCAGGGGAGATCCTGAGCAGATGAGAGGGGCTTTGCCCCTCTTGGAGAAAGAAGGAGGGGCACAGGTGCCCAAGGCTGCAGCCTGAGGTCTTGGTCTTTCTACTCTGGAAGAGCAACAGCTCAAGCAGATGCTGTCAGGCTCAAGTGGTGACACCAGTGAGACCCTGGGCTTCCTGACCACAAAGCCTAGTTTGCTGATGGAGGTGGTCCATGGGAAAATAAAGAATCCACCTGACCAAAGTGAAGAACACCTTCATGAAGAGACTTGCCTAATTTAATGAGGAAGATTTCAGACATCAGGATGCAACCAGAGACACTTCTTCTGGGGAATATCTGGGTGGTGGTCAGAAAGAAAATATCACGAGGGATTTGTGCCAGTCAGATTCAGACTGTGGGATGAAATGGTTTTCTCTGAAAACCAGAAGTTGTCTCCTGATCTGCCTGTGGTCCTCACAAGAGGGATTTTAATCCCCTGCTGAAAGGGGGAAATCCCCCTGTGCAGACTCCTCCTATTCAGGTTCCTTACAGGCACACAGAAGTAATGTCTGATTCTTCTGGTCAAGGAGTAAAATACATGGTGAGAGTCAAATACTGTCATTCTGACCCTCCTCAGCTTCCTGTCTGCTGCCAAAACATATAGAATTTCAAGTTCAGTTCACTTGTACAGATTTGTGGCACTGCTTCAGACCTGAAAATACTACCTACAAATTGAGTGACTAATCACATCAGGTCTCAGCATCAGTAAGTTGTAGCCCCCACAATGCCCTTTTACTTACAACTTTAATTGCCTGGTATCTGAAGAATTAGAATTTATTTGAAGAAGTCACCACTTGTAGCAAGATTTCTAAACCAAAACATAGTCAGAATTTCTTTAGAATGTCTGTCCTCCTTATCCATAATCCAAAATAGAGAAGATATTAAATTTAGTTATTAAATAAACTATCTGATTACAAGATCACAAACACTTTTAAAGCAATTCTAACACCAGCTTTAACCCAATTCATATCTTTGTGACAGAGCCAAAAGCAGTGAAAGTTACTAATCAGAAACAGAAGAGAGACAAATATTATTTTGGCCAGGAGTTTAAAACGACATTTTGTAATAAAAACATCTGATATTACTACATAGCATGAAGACAGTCTCAAATTTACCACTACCTTGCAAAAAACTACCAGAGAGGTAACAGGAATTTATGTGGATTTGTACAACTCCTCAACTACCAGGAGAGAGAGACAAGCAGACATGGTGACACCATATTAAAAATGTATCTACAGGGGTTTATTTTCTACTTCTTTCCTTCTTACTTCCCAGCCTGACTGCAAGGCTGTTCCCTTCCACTGCACAGTTTCCCCAAGTATCTAAAAAGAAGCAAAATCGGACAAAAATTCACTTGCTACCACTATCACGTGTTTTGGCCTGAGCAAAGGGCCCATCTGGTTCCCAGTTTCCAAAACCCAGAAGAATTTTCCACTCTTCAGTGGTAATAAAGCAACAACCTCTTGGTGGTTACTAAGCATTAAAAGAATGGCACAGCTGGGCAGAAAGGCCCTATCTGATCAAACTGGTAATCTGTCAAAAATCTCCCCGAAAGGCAATTTAAGGTGCCAATAGATGGGATTAGTTATAAGAAAAGATCCACGTGACTCCTGAGTTCTGCTCCTTTCTCCAGACTCCACACTCCAAGCCATGACACTCCCTGGGGACTGACAACGCACTGTCACAAGGACGTGACCATGAACAACAACTAAGGAAGTTGAGAGGCTTCCAGTCCCCCAAAACTGCTTATTCTTGATGCAGTAATATTATTTGATCACCCTCATAAGTGTTAGTAATAGAAACCACAGGTATTCCTTGGCACCAGCACTCATCATGAACAGAGAGATAGATATCTATCCAAAAAATGACAAAGCACAGGTAAGGATTTAGGATGTGCCTGTTTTGTTAAGCCAACACCCCAATAGTGGAGCAGCTGCTTTGAACAGAGGAGCAGAGTCAGTAACCACACTTTTAATAATGTACCTTAGGCTCTGAAAGCTCTTTACAACCAACCACTGCCCACTCAACCTGACCAGACACATCCCAACAGGATGGAGATGTTGGTTTGCAGGTGCAAGCCTGGAAAACCCATGTAAGAGCACTTCCAAAGCACCACTGCTCCACCACTCTGCTCGTGGGTGAAGAGGCACAGGCACAAAGGAAAGTCTGAGTGTTGTTCAGGATGCAGAGAAATCCGTTATGGAGATGAGCAATGAACGGTGAGTGAGGAGAGTCACCAACATCCTGACTGCAAACACTTCCTGTAAGCTGGATCCAGAGGAACCCTGGGCACCACAGAGCCCTGCAACGGGGAGGGTGGACACGGATCAAAGAACCATCACAGAATTGTTAAGGCAGGAAAAGACCACGTTCACCACCAAACCATGTCCTCAAGTGCCACATGGTTTTTGAACACTTCCAGGGCTGGGTACTCCAAACCTCCCTGGGCAGCCCCTGCCAAGGTCTGACCACCCTTTCCAGGAGGAAATTCCTCCTCCTGTCCCACCTGAGCCTCCCCTGGCACAGCTGGAGGCCGTTCCCTCTCCTCCTGTCCCTTGTTCCCTGGGAGCAGAGCCCGACCCCCCCCCCGGCTCCCCCCTCCTGTCAGGGGGTTGCAGAGCTCAGTCCCCCCTGAGCCTCCTTTTCTCCAGGCTGAGCCCCCCCAGTACCCTGGGCTTTGCACAGTAAATAAAACTTTTAATTGAGGAAAACAACTAACTGAAGAGAAGCATCTCCTGCACGTTTAATTCATTTATTTCAGCCCACTGAATAAAGTTCACTTACAGAATAAGTCAAGTGATGAAGGTTCAGAGTTCTTTCCTGCTTTGCAGAGGAAACAGGCAGGTTTCTTAAGGCAGCTTTTTAGCTCCAATTCAGTTTCCAACATGTTTAAGGGCATGAAATGGTAAAATTTGAAATCAAATACACCAATCCTACAAGTTGCCCTCTAGGACAAAGAGGGCAGAGGCAGGGGGAAGTGGCTGCAGCCAGAGCACACAGGGCAAAGAACCAAGAAGCTACCTCACAACTGAAGAAGGGAGAAAAGAGAGGATACCAAGGCACCCACACTCCTCCACAGACATGCCCTGAACCCCAAGTCCTTTGTACAGAACCAGTGAAACTGGGGCAGAGGTACTAAACCCATTCCAGCACATCAGTAAATTCCAACCAAAAGGGTAAGTGACTCATGTGAAAGTGATGCCATGAGTCAACAGCAAAAAAGGGAATTGAATCCAAAAGTCTTGGAGACAAAAGCCCAATGCTCTAGTCCCTGGCCACACCACCACCCCCCATTCTCCTTGGCTGTGCCCATTTGGGAACCACCAGAACCACCGTTTCCTACAGCTGCTCTGCACAGCACAGTGCTGAGGGACACAACCAATTCTGAGCAAAGCAGCTCAGATATCCTCCAAACACATTCCACCGAACGTTTTAACAACACTAAATGTTTTGTCAAGACATCTGCACTGTTTTGGGGTCCAGGGGACAATGTACTGTGTGGACTGGCTGAGCACCACACACAGGAACATCAAATCATGGAATGGTTTGGGTTGAGAGGGACCTGAAAGCTCATCCAGTGCTACCCCCTGCCATGGGCAGGAACACCTTCCACCAGCCCAGGTTGCTCCAAGCCCCATCCAGCCTGGCCTTGGACACTTCCAGGGATCCAGGGGCAGCCACAGCTTCTCTGGGCAACCTGTGCCAGGGCCTCTCCACCCTCCCAGCCAAGAATTCCTTCCCAATCTCCCATCTAACCCTGCCCTCCTTCAGCTTTATCACTCCAGGCCCTTGTACAGCTCCCCTTCAATCAACAGGCACCTCATCTCAGGTGCTGACTGCTCCACCACCAAACTGGGCAGCAAAATGGCAAGGATTGGGAAACAACTTATGTTTTAAGAAAAGCAAGCCCTGAAAAAGGCATCTCAATCTTATCTTCCAGTAATGGAGCAAAAAAGCTGAGCCATATTAAATCTCATTTTGGGAATGAGTGATGCAGATGTTTTTATCCAAATACCCTGGAAACACAGTGCACAAAGTCTGAATGCCTGTGGTAGAAAAAAATGCCATAGGGCATAGAAATGATTATTAAAAAATTGTTCTGCAAATCCAGCCACAGAGAACTGTATGATTTCTTTAAATGATTACAGTATCTTTAGAAAACTGCTCAAAGCAAGAAAAAAGAAAAATAAACTGAGCAATAACACAGGTACAAGAAATCTCCTCCTCTGTGTTTGCAGAATGTGCCTCAGGATTAAGGAAGGAAATCTGGAAGTAGTCACTTCCCCATCCAGGGCTGTCTAATTAATTGAGAGGTACTGAAGTTGCTCAGCATCCCTGCAAGGCACACATGGAGCTACTCACTGAGGAAGCAACCTGGGTGGACTTTGAATAAGTGACTTGTTTAAGATTCATCGAGACTCACAGACAGCTAAGACTACTCAACATGTTCCCTGACTTCATGTTAAGACTCCAAACATCCTATAAATCCTCCTGCTATCTTCTACCTGTAGCAATAAAAGTAAAACTACAGTTTAATTTGAACAAAAAGAGGTTTTTTCATTGCTAGAAGCAGTTAAAAATTCTGACAAGTCAGCTTAGAAATACAGGCTTGGCATTTGAAAAATGGGAGGATCCCACTGCCTCAGTCCTTCCTGGGGTTGATAAACCTACAATTACTGTCTGGGAAGATGCAATTTAACTGATAAAACTTCAGTATTTGAGGCAGTGAGGGATACCAAGGGAAGAAGAGGACAAAAAGAACATGAAATCTTAGTTGGCCTTTACAGTAATTCACACACATCACCTGAGGCCCCAAGTATCACTCCAGTTCTAACTGGATCCTGGCAGAATATCCACATCCCTTCTGAGAAAGGGACTATTCTGCTATAGAATAGACCAGTGTCACATTGACAAATACCTACTCTGGTAAGATCTGGATGTGTTAAATAAATAAAATTAGATAAAAATAACTGAAGTGAAAATTAAGAAACCTTGAAAATGTTCCTTCACAATACAATTTATCTCACTACAAATAAAATATGTCCAATACTTGTTAAATTCTTTCATCTTCCTCCGAAAGCTCACACAAGCACCATTTTACAAAGCAAGACAGAGTTGGCAGTTCAAAAGTATACAACA